GGACAAGCCACTCACCGAGGTAGATACGCCACATTTCTCACTATGCAGTACTGTAGAACCCATGCTCAGTAGGCGGCATTACTTAGTCGTCATGACACATCATCCTGGCTTGAAGGGGTCCACTTTACCAAACGTGTGAGTGAAGGACGTTTATCCATTTAGGATGTTGTCATTCTTGCCATATGCTAAATTAGCGCCCAAAAGGGCTGTTTGCAAATTTTTTTAGGAAAACAAAAACAAGCATCATGCCACTTTTAAGGCCCATCCGAGCTGAAGTGATTTGCACTTCATAAAAGATATTTATCCTTCAGCATTTTGGTACATCCACATCGAAGTGTCGTTTTTGAGGCATTTTAAAGAGAATTGTTTGCAATGTGAACAAAGTCAGGTTGTTGCGCGGTTGCAGACATTTGTAAGGCAAATTAGACTAGGCTCTCGCCCAAGTAGATACAGGTACGATTCTCACGGTCTAGTGTTGCAGAACTCCCGTTCAGTGGCGGCATTCCTTTGTAGCATGACTCATTCTCGGTCCGAGGGGGTCTGCATTCTTCGGCCAAGTAGTTTGACCACCTTGAAAATCTATAAGTCATTCATAAACGAAGACGGTGATAATAAAACATTCATTCACACTGTTAAGTTCACACACTAAGGGTGATAAACTTACGCTTCTAAAAGCGTAACTTCAATTGTGTAACTGCTCTTTTACTTCCGAGTAGCACTTATTCTTCGCTACTAGTAAATGCACTTTGCGGTGCTCACTGTTGCCTATTTGAACACAAAAATGGCTTTTATCCTAGCTCTGCGATTTGCGCAAAGGAATCAACAAAAGGGTACGTTACTCTGTAGAAGTACGACAGTGGGGTACCGCCTCTGTTCCGAATTCGAATAAGTCATAGCTCTAGTGCAGAAAGTGTATTGCTGACGTACAGAACTGCTAGGAGGCTACAGACTGGCTAAATAGTCCATACTGGCGGGTGGAAGCACAATGGCAGATCCTCGAGAGCCCATGTTTGTATCTGCTGAGTTAAACAAACATCCAAAGTAGAAGACACTCGAACAAAACAAAATTGGCATTTGACATTTCCAACTGTTTTTAAGTTTGACTTGTCATGCACAATCAGCCTTTTTGCAACAACTCTAACGCCTTTTATATTCCTAA